GTGCTTTGAAATCAACAAAAATCTGTACGAAATCTAGTAGGATTCATTGTTTTGTTCTTTAACTTCCTTACTGAAAGCTATTTCTATATGAAATTTTTATTCTTTGAAGGTTGAAAAAATGCTTGATTTTTAACTGAGTTAATTTCCAGTTGATTCTTAAGATAACAGGGAAGCTTTAGGAGCCTAATTAAGCCACATATTTGCCCTAATTACTTTAGCTGCAGACTGCTCCAAAACAAAAGCATTAAACAGACCAGTTCTGTGTGCAGCAGCCAGGCATTTGAAGATTTGTTTTCTCCAGTAGAGGTTTTGAGTAACACAGGAGTGAAGAAGCTGAGAAGCAAAGCCACTATCTGCGAACGGTGGCTTAAGCCATAAACAAATCACAGGGAAGCCCTTATTCGTGCATCATGCAGAAAGTTCCATTCAGCCTACATGATTTTGCTTATGTCCAAACACAGAGAAAGAGAGCATCATCTTTGATATCATAAGCAGCACCACGTTTTTAGTCAATAATTGAGCATTTGCTTCCAAAGAGGGTAAAGTTAATAATCCGTGATGAGTAGTGGTTGTTTTCTAGTGCTAATTGCTTCATTGGCGTTATTCTTTTAAACAGTGTCATTCATATACAGTTTAGCAGTTTGAGTGAAGTAAATCCACATTTCAATTACCCACTTTGTTTTTAGCCTAAGGTGAGTTTAGAGCACTGCCATTCATGTATGTATTGTCATCTTTCATATAAACAAAGTGAGTTTTTATTATTGCTAACTGATGAATTAGTCAATCGCTTTCTTAATACAGAGTTCACAGGAAATTCCTTTCAAAGGTGACCTCATTAAAGACATTTCTTCATTAGACAAAATCTGCTATAAAGGCAGTGTGTTTGTTTATTCATTTACCTTCATTTGTAGATACAAATTGTCAGCTACAAAGCTTGCATTTTTTTCTTCAGGTAAAAAACAGAAATAAGAAATATTATGGATTCTCTTATCTGTTGTTAAAAAAAAATCTGTGTTTCAGACTCTTGATTTGGAGTCCTAACTTTACATTTTAATTAAACATGCAAACAACTTTAGATTTGAAAGCAGTAAGTTGTCCTCAAAATAAAAACCAAAAATTAAGAGACTGTAATCTACCACCAAAGCAGTTTAAAATAGTGAAGTAAGCATCTGGTGAGCAGGGCAAATAGAAAAGTTTCCAGTTCTTGCCTAAACTCTCGAGATGCCTGTACCACCCCTCTGCTTTATTTTGCCTATGGAAACCTGACCTAAACTAAACAGCTATTCCGTATCGTTAAGTTGTCCAGGAAGATGAAAGTTGAAATATATGTGAGACAAGCTGAAGCATCTGGTGCAATTCAGGAATGATGGTCTCCTCCAGAGAGTTGCAATGTTGGAACAACTTTAGAACTGGGGAGGCTTGCTTGACCTATGTAGAGAAAATAACGCTCTTCTAGCCAAACATTCTCTGTGTTCTCAAGAACTCACACTTGCCAGCTTCTCTCCCACTGCAGGAAACACAAAGTGCAGTCCTCTGTGACAATCTCCCTATATCTCTAATTCCACTTTGCTGTATGGTACTGACCATTTTCCATTAAAACTGTTTAAAAATTATTTTCATACTTCTTTCTCTAAACAGTACTAGTCCTTTTCTCCTAGACAATCATGTCTGATAAAGTGTTGTTCTAGAGTCATGCGTAAAATTGAATTTAGACTCTGTCTTATGGCTTGTTGATATGAGAACAAACTGAGTTCTTCCTGTGAGAGAGCATTTAAGCTTAGACATATGAGATGCTCTGAAAGGTTAGAAGTGACAGTCAGTTTTTGCCTTTTAAACTGTGCCACAAATGGCAAAATACCAAATGTATCATTGTTCAAAGCAGAAAAAAATATAAGATTTAATTGTGAGTTTTGGAATTGATAGGGAAGACACTTGCAACAAATACAGAGTTTTAACGTTTTTTTATTAGGCTAACCAGTCACACATTGTAAAAATTGCTAGGAATCCAATGCATAAGGCAGAGAACATTAGCAGCCACAACAGACTAGATAATATAGTCAGTGAACTTACAAACAAGTGCTTTATTTCACTGGTAAACAAAAATGCTACTGAAAACCATGGAATACTATTTCATCAATCATATTGGTAGTTTATTTTTAAAGCGAGAATGTCCAATGTTGGCAAATTAAATGTGGTGGCGGAGTAAATTGATATAAGATTTTTGAAAAACTGTATCAAATATTCACCCTTTTTTAGTTCAGTAATTCTCATACTTTGTTTGCATCTCAAGAGAATACCTAAAACATTTTTAAAAAGCTGCAGTAAAGGGTATCATTGCAGTGTTTTTGTAATATTTAAAAAAAAGGAAAACAAACTAAATACCCCCAAAGCACAGAGATCAGATATATTAATATACATTAGCTGTGTAGGATATTCTGTTACATTTTAAATGATGTTCCGGCTGATCCATACTAATATGAAGATATATTATTTGTGCTGAGTGAAATGCATAGAAAACAAAATTACATATATTGAAAACCTTCTGCTTTATGCAAAACTCCATTATACATTGAAGAATTGAGCAGATAAGAGTTTTACAATTTTTCATTGCAGCATTTTCTAAATTTTACTTAACATGCATTTTCATGATTCACAAATATTTTTTAAAAAACTGACATGTTATTACTCAAAGCACTTTCTATTTCATTGCCTTCTTTGCTTTCACATTTCTACCTAACGCAACAGCTTGTGCTTAGCAAGATTGGAAAATGCCATAATGTCTATTGCGAAAATTCCAAGGGAGAATATTTCTTATTCTCTTGGTTGTAAGCATAGCGAATCCAGGACCTGCGTGACTGGGGCAGCTGAAACCGGCAGGTAGCAGCGCCAAGCCGGGGCTCTCAGCACCCACACTCCCTCGGCAGTCAGCCCCTTTCAAAGCCCACCGCTGCAGCTTCTAGCACCTGGGACTAGATAAACTACCCGCAGCAGATGCAGTGTTAGCGATGATTGCTAATATTTGGGGTACAACCAAAAGCAATTTCTTTCAAAAATTAGAGCCTCCGAAAGGAGGTATTTATTCAACTATTTTTTAAAACAGGAAGTTCTCAAGAAAGAGAAGACGAGGTGTATTTTTACGATGTATACATTGCTAGCTTACTGTTAGCTTTCATAAATAATACCCTTTGTAGTATTTACCCTAGGGCAACGGTGAACTGACATTCCATTCCAGCGAAGAAAAATATCGTGTGTCTCCCTTTCTCTCCAGCTAAATCCCTCTTTATAAATGTGGTCTCTCCTTGGAATCTTCAATGTAATCTCGAAGGTCTGAAATGAGAGAAGAAGGAGAAGGAGAAGAAGAGGAGGAGGAGGAAGACGATGAGAAGGAGGAGGAGGAAGAGGAGGAGGAGGAGAGAATGGAAATGAATAAGTTTAGGAAGCTGCACTTACACTAGGACATTTTTTCCTGAAAAGGGGAAGACAGCAGTTCTTATTTTCGCGATGTTACTTAAGATCTTTTCTTGATGCGAAGAATGTGAAATACTCTTGCAAATTTATACTGTATGGTTCTTTGTTGTGGGTATGAATTTTTCTCCTTCTAAAGTTTTTCGGTGTTGGTAGCGGGACGGAAAACTTAGTATTTTTCAAGATTCTTTTTGAAGCACCCCTCAGAGCGTCCCCCATGGAAAACTATGCTGACAGCTAGACGCTGATGTGTCTCAGAAGAATGGATCTAGAATTTTTTTTTTTAAAAAAAAGGCTGTACACTTCGCAGGCCACCAAATTTGTGCTTTCAGGGTCATCATTAACCGCACAGCAAGAAACAACATCTTCAGCGAATCTGGGTTATGTGGACGAGAAATGAGCTTTGATTAAGGAGTACGTTCTTTTTGAAAGCATCGCCGTTATTCCTGTGACTTAAGAGTCTCGGGCTTTTGTCAGGGGCCGAGCGGGCCGGCCGAGGAGCGCCAGCAGCGCGGTGGGCGGCAGGTCTGAGGGCTCCGATCGTTTAACGGTTTCAGGACTCAGTCCCTCTTACGCGGTGGCAGAGAATGGACCAGACTACTGCAACAGGAAGAGAGAATGCTTGTGAGTGACAAGGAGAAAGAGAGAGGGCGCCCGGCTGCTGGGTTCCCAGGTCACCAGAGCTGTGGGATTTGCAAGAGTTTATCACCACCATTAACAGCTCTAGGCGGAGGGTTGTTTACCGCCTTGCTGAGCTACTAGCCGGCAGCGGAGCCCACTCCAGCACTGCAGCCACGCCCACTCGTTCCTACGCTCCCCTCCCCCCGCCGAACCAGTGAATTCGGGGCCGCTTTCCTGCCAGACCCGCCCATTGGCTCCTATCCCGCCCAATCAGATTCTCGCAACAGTTTCACCTGGTTCCCGCTTCCCAAATAAACAAACAAACCGTCCCGCGACGGTGCCAGCTCTGCTCCCTAGCGCCATTGGCAACGACAGCATTCCGCCCCCTCTCGCCACCTCGTGTCCCTCTCCTGTCACTTCGCGCCCCGTCCAGTCCATAGAGTACTGATCCTGGATTCCCTGCCCAACCCCGACCCTCCCGGCCAGCTCCCACTGCCTTTGGCCTCCCCGGACTGCACGCTAAAATCGGGGAAGCCAGACAGCCGTATTTCCTCCCATCTTTGGCGTCCTGGCCCTCGGACCTGGAGGTTCACCGAGAGGGTTTGGCCGATCTGCAGTTAGCCCCGCCTCCCAGACCCGCTGCCCCCTCCCTTGCACACCTCTCCGGGCGGCTACCAGCTTCCCTCCACTGCGCTGGTAGCAGGATCCGCAGCGACCGCCGCGTGAGGCAGTGGTCACGTGTCGTTTTGCCCGCTGCCGTGCGCTCCGAGTGGAGTGGGCGGGGGCGCAAGCCGAGGCGGGAGGGGGCTGAGGCGGGCGGACCGGGGATAGACAGCCTCTTTCCCCCCCCCCCAAGCCCTCCCTCGTCCTAGCCCCCCTCCCTCTCGCTCACCTTAAAACCCTCGTGCATCACCATGGCTAGTAGCTCCTTCGCTCGCGACCTAGCGACAAGGAGACTGAGAGCTGCAGCGGCGGCAGCAGCGGCAGCTCCAGCAGCGGTGGCGACCACCCCGCTTCTTTCTTGGGGAACACCGACCGCACTCATTGGGACCGGGTCGTCTTGTCCGGGAGCCATGTGGCACTCCACGGCCACCGGCTCCCGATCCGACTCCGAGTCGGATGAGGAAGACCTCCCCGTCGGGGATGAAGTCTGCAAACACGGCTACCTGCGGAAGCAGAAGCATGGGCACAAGCGCTACTTCGTGCTCAAACTCGAGACCGCCGACGCCCCAGCTAGGCTGGAATATTATGAAAATGCCAGGAAGTTCCGGCACAGTGTCCGCGCCGCTGCGGCTGCTGCGGCTGCCGCCGCCTCCGGCGCCGCGGTCCCGGCGCTCATCCCCCCGCGGCGCGTGATCACCCTATACCAGTGCTTCTCCGTGAGCCAACGAGCCGATGCAAAGTACCGACACCTCATTGCCCTTTTCACCCAAGACGAATACTTCGCGATGGTGGCCGAGAACGAGTCGGAACAGGAAAGCTGGTACTTGCTGCTCAGCCGCCTCATCCTCGAGAGCAAACGCCGCCGCTGCGGCACGCTGAGCGCACAGCCGGACCGCGAGCCGGCTGCGCTGGCGGCGGCAGCGGCGGTGGAGCCACCCTTCTACAAAGATGTGTGGCAGGTAGTAGTCAAACCCAGGGGGCTGGGGCACCGAAAAGAGCTGAGCGGCGTGTTCCGGCTGTGCCTGACCGACGAAGAGGTGGTGTTCGTGAGGCTCAACACCGAAGTGGCTAGCGTGGTCGTGCAGCTCTTGAGCATCCGTCGCTGCGGGCACTCGGAGCAGTATTTCTTCTTGGAAGTGGGCAGGTCCACGGTCATCGGGCCAGGAGAGCTGTGGATGCAGGTAGATGACTGTGTAGTGGCCCAACACATGCACGAGTTGTTTTTGGAGAAGATGAGAGCCCTGTGTGCGGATGAGTACAGAGCCCGCTGCCGCAGCTACAGCGTCAACATCGGCGCCCACCTGTTAACCTTGCTGTCCACTAGGAGGCACCTGGGCTTGCTGCCGCTCGAGCCCGGCGGCTGGCTCCGAAGGTCCCGCTTGGACCAGTTTTGCCACCTCCGAGCCCTCGGTGACGGGGAAGACGAGATGCTAGTCACCAGGCGCTACGTGACACCCAGCGAGCCCGTTCCCGCCGGCCGGCGAGGAAGACTACAGCTTCCCAGAGCGCACAGATCCAGGAGAGCGCTTTCAGTGCCAGCCAGCTTATTCCGCCGCTTACCATCCAGCCCGGTACGTGCCCCGCAGCGTGAAGAAGCCCCTAGCGACAGAGCCTCCCTGTCTGCTGAAGCATCCGGCTCTGGCGCTGGCAACCCTGCAGAAGAAGACAATTCTCCAAGCAAAGAGGGTCAGAAAGACAGTGGAGACGACTACATGCCCATGCATAGTTGGGGCTCAGGAAATGGCCGAGATTCAGGAGGTGGTCATGGCTCAAGTGGCCAAGGCCCCAGTGGTCAGAGCTCCGGGGCAGGCCAGTGCTCTGGCGGGAGGCAGGGATCCGGAGGCGGCCAGGGCACAAGTGGCCACCAGGGATCCGGAGGTGGACAGGGTTCAGGCAGTCAGGGTGCAGGAGGAAACCAGTGCTCAAGAGATGGACAAGGTGCTGCAGGTGGGCACTCTGCTGGCGGCGGCGGTGCCAGCGGCGGCCAGGGTTCCGGAGGTGGGCACGGCTCAGGTGGTGGTCAGGGACCCGGAGATGGCCGTGGCTCAGGCAGTGGCAAGGACTCTGGCCGGGGTAAGGGCTCAGGAAGTGGCAAGGGTTCCAATGGGGATGGTGACCGTGGAAAATCTCTGAAGAAAAGATCCTACTTTGGCAAATTATCTCAAAGCAAGCCATTGTTGCCACCTCCACCACCGCCTCCTTCACCCCCAGGGGCTGGAGCCATTAGTGCAAAGGCGAAGACTGGAGGAAGGTTTAGACTTTATTTTTGTGCTGACAGAGGAGCCACAAAAGAACGTAAAGAAGCCAAAGAACTGAAAGACGGGGAGATCCCAGAAGGGGCTGCTCGGGTTCCCTACAGAGCCAGAGCTTTTGATGAAGATGAAGATGACCCATATGTGCCAATGAGACCTGGAGTGGCGGCCCCTCTGGCAAGCTCTAGTGATTATATGCCCATGGCTCCTCAGAATGCCTCAGCTTCTCAGAAGCGTCACTCTCGGTCACCTTTTGAGGATTCCAGAGGCTATATGATGATGTTTCCTAGAACCAGCCCACCACCTGCTCCCAGTCCTCCCAAAGCTGGCGATCTCAATAAAGATGATGAATCCAAAGATGACAGCGACAGTGACTACATGTTTATGGCTCCTGGGGCCGGGGCAGTTCCCAAGAACCCCCAAAATCCTCAGGGTGGCGCTTCTTCCAGAAGTTGGAACTCCTACTTCTCTCTGCCGAATCCTTTCCGGAACTCACCATTGGGCCAAAGTGACCACAGTGAGTATGTACCTATGTTACCTGGGAAATTCCTGGGGAGGGGGCTGGACAAAGAAGCATCCTCTAACTGGGGCTCTAAAGATACAACTTCAAAACCTCCAGCTGAGGGGTCATTCCCAAAGCCTGGGGGTGGGGAGTCACCCTCAAAGCCTTCAGATGATAGGTCCCCCCAAGGAAGGCTAAGAGACCAAAGGTAGTCTCTCTTATGACAAAAGGGACTAAACTAAGCCCAAACCACAAAAGGCCAGAAGTGAACAGAAATTCTGGCAGCAGGTCTAGAGACTCCATCAGACTTGACTGCACTCTGATAGCTAGCCATGCGCCTGTACCCTCCACTCAAACAGTGCTGGCTTGGTGGGGTGTACTTGCTAATGCCAGACCCTCAGCCCTTTCTAATGCACTGTATATGGAGTTGGGAATGTCTTTTCCAAATCCAGGGAACGCCCTCTCAGATATTTTAGGAGCTATCCCAGGTGCCACCCCCCTGTCTCTGGCTGGTGCTAGGTGGCCACTTCCTCCTCTTCCTCCCTGGGCTACAGGTAGCAATGCTAATGAGGAAGAGGGTGACTACATTGAAGTGATTTTCAATCCAGCAATGACACCAGCCGTGCCTTTTGCGGACAGTGCCATTCGCTATGATGCCGAAACGGGTCGAATCTATGTGGTCGACCCATTTTCGGAGTGCTGCATGGACGTTGCCCTCTCGCCTAGCCCGTGCTCTGATCCCCCACCTGTAGCTAGGCTGCTGCAGGAGGAAGAGCAGGGAAGAAGACACCCGCCAAGCCGTCCCGAAACTTTATTTGCAGCCGCCAGAGCCGCGGTCTCAGCTTTTCCAACTGACAGCCTCGACAGAGACCTTTCTGCCTCCTCAGCCTCAGCAGCAGCTCCAACCTTAGCCGTGGGCCGGGCTTTAGCTGCGGCCTCGGCGCTCGCCGCTGTCCCGGGTATCGGCTCAGCAGCCGCGGGCTTCGAGGCCGCAGCCGGGGTTGACTCCGCCCGCTGGTTCCAACCTGTTGCTGCCGCCTCCGCCGCCGCCGCCGCCGCGGCTGACGCCGACGCTCTAAGGGGGGCCCAGAACTTTGCCGGTGGCTCGAACCCTGGAGCCCCCAACCCATTTGCAGACCTTGCCGGAGCTGACAACCGGGCAGGCCAGGCTGCCGCTGCAGCTGCCGCCCCCACACCACCGCCTCGCCGTCCCCGGGTGCCGAGACCTCCAGAGAGAGAAGATTCCGACGGTGACAACGACGACGACGACGACACGTACGTGACAATGGACTTTGCCAGACTTGACAACAAGAAGTTTGACTCTACCAAAAGAGGTTTGTAATTTTACAATCAATTTCTCTTCAGTGAATAGTCATTAGTTAATGAATGGGTCGATGTGATGCTTTCTAGAGTGTTAGGGAGCAGTGGGGGTAATATTTCATTAATTGGTGCTATTTGACATGAAGGGTAGAATTCAGTTTTAATTACTCGCACGATACTCTTTTGATGTTGGCATAAACTTCAGGTTTTCTCTAAAGAGCCAATTACTGTGGAAACGTCGGTTCTACTTTTCAGGAATGGCTAAACCTCAAAGCCAAGTGTCAGGAGGAAGCTTTCATACATCCTTCCCCATCACTAACAATGCAAAGGAGGGATTTGTAAACCGAGTTCCAGCAACTCACTTGCAAAACGGTCACAGCAACCTGTTTCTCTACAAAGGCCCATACTTATAAGTGCAGGAATTCAACAACAACATGGGATATTAGGCGCTGAAAACTGTTAGCATTTGGGGAGGCTGACATTCGAAAGCCTCTGTTTAAAAAGGAGGTGTTGTTATGGTAGTTTGCTGTGACTCCCCACGCAGATGAAATTTCAATTGTTGGAGTGAATGTCTATGGGGAGCAAAACATAGGCAATCCAAAACGGCAGGTGATTAACAGAAGACAGCATTTGGCTCTGGAGTGTGTTTTTCTGTTGGTTATTATTATTTTCTGTTCTCACACCCGGTACATTGCTAGAAAGTTTGAGCCTTCTCCTGCTCTGTTATTAAAAATGGTCAGAAGCTCACCTTTACTGTTCCTCCTTTTCCCCACCCCTTAAGAGTGTGTGATGACAACTTGCTAATGGATATAAATCTTTTTTCAAAGGTTTAAAAAACCATGTAAAACATTGAATGGATGTTTCTTCTTGGAAATCGTAGAAAGCAAAATAAGTAACCTGGAGGCAGACCTGACCCCAGGGGCAGCCTACTCAGAAACGGTGGGAGGGTTTTAAAGGACCCATTCTTCCAAAGGAAAACACAGGGAAGAGTAGTAACTATGGGTCTCAGAAACAAGGCTTAGAGTAAATCTGCATTTTATAGTGTTGTCATCAGTGTGCTTTGAATCATTCTCAGAAATCATTGCAGAAGATAAGGTCTCCGTAGAACTGCCTTTTTCTCTTGAGCAGAATATGTTGGTTTCGCAGTAAAGTGAAGGGATGGACCCCAGCAGTTTTCATTGCAATAGTCAGTTTAGAGAAGGTTTTTGCTTTGCTTGTTCTGCGGAATGCTTTTGTGATTGGATCTGTGCCCACTGTGCTTGATCAGGCAGAACAAGTAGGGGGCTGATCACAACAGTCACCTAACAAGCTCTCTATTTTGTGCAGGTGTAACCCCCTCCCTTCCCCTTTCTCCTCCTGCTGTAGAAAACTTGCCATACAAAAACTCAAATCCGCAGTCTGGAAACATTAAAGAGCGATCATTAAAACCACAAAAGGATGCTTTGGCTTGCCAAAAGATTCAGTTCAGATCTCCTTTAAATTGTGAATCCCCTTTGTACAACACACACACACACACACACACAGTGCTACTACCATAATATACATTTAAAATTTAAAAATCCATTTCTAAGAATTTAATTCAAATTTAGCTTTTCAAGAACAGATTTGTTCTGTAAAGTAATCCTGAAAATGGGTCAGAAGCTATTGCTTCAGCCTGATTATCGGAGACATCATTTCTCATTTTGATGTGGGGTGACATATATCGAAGTAGCTACCTTTGGCCCTGTGGTACTTACAGCACACTACATTTTCATACTCTTCAATACTTTTTTCTTTAAGCAAAGACTAAAATGGCACATCCTATTGTTGCTCAAAGTAACTCTCACTTCTCAAGGATGATCTAGAGCCATTGGTCATTATTTTTGCCTAAATTGCTGATTTGTGATGTTACAGATTTAGCTTCCTCTAAATTTGTTATTGGCTTAGGAACTATTTCACTAAGAGACAGGAACTATGGTTGAAATAAGAGAATAAACTTGGAAGCACTTTACAACATTAAAATGTGAGCTATTTTCATTGTGTCATTGCATAAATACTGGAATGAAATTTCAACAGATAAATTTATTTAGTTCATTTCTTGCAAAATGATTGTTCCTGTTGGTGATCCCTTCACATACTTTCCTGAGAAACAGAGAAAGATTGGGGGGGGGGTGTTAGGGGGGAAGGCGTGGAGAAACAAATCTTTACAGAAAATGGCTTTCCTTAGCATACTAATAAATTGATATGATAGAATGTTGCTTGTGGAATGTGATGAACAGGCTGTATGAGCCTGGTGGGTTTTTTGTGTGTGTTTGTTTACTATAAATCTATTGACTTACCCATTTCAACTTTCTTTGCTATGTAACAACAACAAAAAATCGGACAGAAAAAAATTTTAGCAGAGGAGAAAAGATACAGCCTTAAGGATTTATCACTTAAAGTAATTTTAATTCAAGGAACATATTGAAAATAGTGCCTGGAATACATCAAGTGCTAGATATGAATTATTATCAGTTATTAGTGCTGTTGTTGCTGCCACTATTACATTTAAAACAGAAAGCCAAACTAAATTCTTGACTCTCAAGTCACACTTTTTAGTAAATCTTTACTTTTCATTTAAAGTGCTTTACATGGTTGCTCAAGGTTGAGATTTTTATCATTGAAATGTATTTAATACTTAATGAAGTGTGGTTATAAATCACTGTTTCAGTGTGGTTTGTGTGTATGCGTGTGTATAACACAAATTACTATGGAAACGCAATTACCTGTAACCATTGCATGTAAGTATGTAGACACATTTGTTCAACTTGATTAGAAACACCAGGAAATATAACCTGATTGCGACTATTTTTAAAGTAATTTTTATAAATGAACAAATTTTAAACAATTATTGAAAAGGAGCCTCCATTTGAAGCAAATTGTAAGCACCAACATTTAAGAGAAGGTGGCTTTTCGTGTGGTTTCATTGCAGTCTTAACCTGCGTGTGACTTAGAGTGTGCTGCTGCCATCAATTATATGTACCAAGAGCAAATTGTGTTTGGTACATCGAACTTATTTCTTATAAAGTACTAGAATAAGATCTTCATATAGCTAAAATTATGCAGTTACCATTGCTTGGTCACTTATTTTAGGCAGCATTTAACCTCCCCACCCACCCCAAATTGGACAGTCGTTTGGAATAATGAGATATTTGACCTAAAGCAATTAAAGAGAGACCTCACTCAATTAAAGTTAGCTAAAGTTGTTGGCAATCAATTCTTCCTAGGCATTCATTCTATATTAAGAGTGATGCTTCTGGGGTAAAAACGTTGGCCACTAGTAAAACATACTTTATGCAAGTATCAAGACATTAATAGAGCACCCCAGATTACCACACATTCATAAAAATCCAAGCAAGAGCTCTGGCTTGCTTTTCCTCTCAATCGCCAAACATGAACCAAAATACTTCGAGTGATTGGCAGGGTACTGATTTGGAAACAAACTCAGGCTCCTCAAATTGACCTCAAAAATTTCACGTTGGAACAGATACAACTGATCAGTTCAGGCAGAAATAAGGAATTGTGTGTATGACTGAAAAGGCGCTCTTGTGAAGTTGTTAACTTGTTGATTGAGGGAATGCTTTCCAGTTGCAGATTGCCTTGTAGTGTGCAAAGCACATTCACATGTATAACCTTACTGATGGATGGTAAGTACTGGAAATGAAGCCGGTGTTAAGAATTTTCCTGTGGTCCAAAAGGTAAGTGGCATAGCTGAAAATCTAATCCTACACATCTGATTTCAAGTCCATTGCTCCACCCAAGCACATCACACTTCCCTATAATCAGGCATGTAATATGTATTTTCCTACTAAGGAAAGATTATAAAATAGTCCAGGACTGGGAAAAAGTTACATGCTTGTTTGGATTTGATGGTGGCAAATTCTTTATAAGGGGCTCATTTAAATTGTTCAAACTGTGGATCATCTGCTAGGGCTTGGAAAATTTTCATTACATTGAACTGTTTACCTTGGCTCTTAGAATAAAAAGACTTTGGCTTGTGCTGGAATTGAAGCTCTTCAATCTGGTCTGAGGAGGAGTTAGCTTCATCTTTACTTCCCAAATGCAAATAGTCTGTTCATTTGCTTCAATCCCACAGAAACACTAAAAACAAAAACAAAAATAAGAAACAAATAAACAAAAAAAAAAACCAGAGAGTTGAGGATACTTACAGTATGCTTCCATTAATGACCGTTTCCTAAACTGAAGTTAGATTACTTCAATTTTCTTAATACCCCAGTGCCCCAGTGCCAGTTACAGAAAAAGTCTCTTCATTTATTTTTTTCCTTTTGTTCAAAGTTATGACATCCTAATGTAAACCATCACAGCGCGCAGAACAGTTTGAAGTACAGCAAGTAGGTGAAAAACCACTTGCAGATATGGATGCCTTTCATTTGTTTTTAAAAGCAAACTTGCTTTTTGGCAGTCAGGCAAGTCTGTTTTCAAAGCCTTGGTCCATAAGTCCTTGTTTAAAATTAAATTCATTTTATTTTGCACCTTTCTAAGGCTTTAAGACAATGTAAAAATAGCCCAAATATTTTATTGGCAGTATTGGAAAACACCTTTTGTAAAATGCTTACTTTAAGACTGCAGTGTGTTTTTTCTAAGAGGTGTTGCCAGGCTTAGAGGTGAGGATCACTTACTGGAAAACATTATGTGGTCCCAAGTGAGAAATGGGAGGTTTTGAAAGCTACTTTTTGTAATAATGAAATGAACAGAATGCATTCACTCTTTAGCACATCAATTTGAGAGCTATTGATAAAATTGCCATGGTGATGTATTTGCAATTTAAACCTAAAATACACTGACCGATCATCCTGCACTGAGCTTTGGTTATGCAGTTACAGACCTTAACATTCCTAACATTTTTCCTTTTTTTAAAACTTAAATTTTTTTTTTTTATTTTTGTGAAAGGTAGCCTGGACACTTGAGAAATGGGAGTCCTTAAGGATTCGTTATATATATATATACAGAGAGAGAGAGAGAGAGAGAATATATATTTATATA